TAACAGGAATGCAAGATATGCTTCTTAGTAGCACTCAATTGGCTCTTACAGCTTTTTATATTCTCAGCATTGATACACATTTATTACTTGTGACCTCATGCAAGCTGTTTATCCTCTTCTGCTTCTGTATCCGTTTTGTAAAATGGCAGTAATAATTATATTTTTAAGGTGTCCAGAGATTCTCAACTGAGAGGCATTATGAAATCACGAGTATTATTTTGTGCTGGTCACTTGACCCAAAGCTTTTAAAAGCTGTAGTAAAAATCGGCATAGTTTCTTGAAAGATTACTCAGGATTTTACTTTTCTTCCCTAACCAAGATTCATCAAGCAGTTGTATTTATCTTCCTCCTTTGCAACACTTTTAACCTGAAAATGGAAATTCTTGCCTTTTTTAGCAGTATTAGAATTTAGAACAAACTTTTCCACTCATAACCCAAATTCCCATGTCACTACACCATTTCCTGGTTCCTGGGGGGGTCATGACTGCTGGTTTGGCAATTGCTGTTCTAGAAGGATAAATGGTACCAATGACAAAAGATAGCTCTTCATTCACGTATTTCAGATGAGTAATGGTCTTACGTTAGCTGACTGAGATATGATTCTGTGTCACAGAAGCTATTGTTACCAGAACTTGTTACCCAATCTCAGGTCTGTGTCCAGGAACTAAGTAGTCTATAGAAACTGATGTACCTTCTTACTAGGCCATTTTCTCTTCTGATAAGGAGTAAATCATGTTGTCAGGACTGTAAGTGAGAAGCTTGTACTACTGAGGCTCATAGTTTATGTGCTAAGGAGGAAGGGGAACTTCCTGCTCCCAGAGGTTATGTGTTCAATTTTAAATGGTTTTAAGGATTAACACAATAAAGGTGCAGGGGAAAACAACAAGAAAACAGGGGGGAAAAAGCATTTAACTGCAAAATGTCATTTATATATATTATTATTCTCCTTTCTTGATATTCATCCCATGTACAAGGGCTACTGTTTCCCATCTGAGTATCAGCAAATTTAAAGCTATACATGAGAAAAGCATCTAAAAAGATTAAATCAGGAATTGGGGAACTGTAGTAGTGTGTGTGGCTAATGCACTCCTTACCTCCTTCTTCAGAGGTGCCACATATTCCCAAGTGTTGCTTTTAGGATCATACCTCTCCACTTCCCTCAGGTCTTCATGGTAATCTCGGCCTGCGACGGCATATATATAGTTGTCCACAACACAAACACTGAGATCTGCATGCTCTTGCTGTAGGGACTGGATCTGGAACCATTTGTTGTGTCGTGGGTCATACCTTGTAAAAGAATGGGATCAAAGAAAGTTATTCATACAGCCACAGAATCATTTCTGGAATACCAGACAGCACCACAGATGTGGGTTACTGTACTGTCTTTGGCTGAAATTGAGCTCAGCTGTAAGTGGAGTGAAATTTGGCCTTGTCAACATTTTATTATTAGCAAAGTTGTTTTAATTCTATTTTTAGAAGATGTATTTTAGCTGACATAATCATGCTATAGAAGCCTAGGTTTTCCATTATCTTACACACTGCTGTCAGGTTACATACCAAAATCTCTGCTTGCACAAAGTCATTCTACAAGTTAAAACAGCCTAAAAATAGCACAAACACTGAATCTGGATCGTCGTTTTTGATTCTTTTCCCCAAATAGCTGCTGCTCAAAGTGAACTTCATGATTCACTTTCATGTCAAAATATCTATCTGGTCTGGAAATTTTAGTTACAGAGAAAACTGGTGGTGAAGTGAAACTATGCATGCCATAAAATAGGGGCAACTCATCTAAAACTAGAAAAAGGGTTTATATCTGGTTTTGCAATGTAATGGGCATGTAGGTCTAAACCTGATCCTTCCTCCTGCTCTTTTCCCTGGCACAGAATATAAGAGGACCCTGGAACACTGCTATTGTGCACACAAATTCCCGAAAATCAACCAGTAAGAGCATTTTATTTAAAAACCCTTTTTGGTAATTAATTCCCTTGTATTGGGACCAAAACTACACACAGAGGACTTCTAGAAAGTCATAGTACAAAAGCATCTAGACAATGTAGGGTTCTAGATTCATTACTGCTTCCCACAACTTTAATACTTCTCCCCTCCAACAAGGCAGAAAGTAGTACATGTAATACTCTTGAATGAGTAGCTGTTTCTACCCTATCAGGTTTGGCTTTGTCCCGCATGCACTGCTGGAAGTCTCCTGTTCCTATGAGGCTCATTTCTTTATTTCTTGTGTTTTCTTTCAGTGAGGCCCCTGCTCAGTTTCTAATCTTTCAGCTAGCAAATGTACAGACTGCGCTACTGGCTTACTGACTCAGATGGGCAACAGGGTGGCAATAGAAATAATAGCAGGATTATCCTTATCTTACCTCCAACACCTTGACTCTGCTCGAAAACCACTTACATTGTTGTCTCCGCCAATTAAATACACAAAATTATTGAGAACAGCAATCCCTTGGTTGGACATTCTGGGGGCTAGTGCAGCTGTAAAGTGCCTCCACTCTCCCAACAAGGGGTTCAGATACTTGGCTTGATCACTGAGGACAATGGATGGAGTAGAATGCATCCCTCCAAATCCCACTACACACTGGAACTCTGATCTCAGCTGTGTCTGGGAGCTCTGAAGCATTGGCTGAAGACATTCATTCTTGTGGTACATTAATGCATCCGCGACTGTATCTTTTAAAGGACATGGACTTAATTTGTCATGAAGCCTTTGCAGGATCTGGGGTTCCATCAGAGGAAAACGAACTGTCTCAAGTAGCTTAAGGGGCTCCATCAGGGAGACCTGATCTGTCTCCAGTTGCTCTGGAGAATAATGGTAAAAAAGTGCCCCATCATAAACTTCAAACTCATAGTTAACCTCCAAACGGTTGCTGCTGAGAAGGGAGTAGACCTTCTGCAAGGGTAGCTGTCGGTACACTTGTGTCCTTGAGAAAGCTGCAAAGTTCTTCAAAATGTAGGAGTCCAGCTGATCACTCAAATGTCTCAAGTCATAGTGGTCGGCTAGTCTGTATACATCAAGGATGTTCTCTTCATCTACCCAGGACATCAGAAAATCACAACAGAACTTAATGACTTCTGGAATCTGCAAGAGAGAGATATTTTTTCATTTCAGACACCACTTGCCTCACACACAAGAGACAGGTGACAGAAGGCTGGGATGACTGTAAGAAAGTTGTCCACAAGACGACTGCTCTCCTCACAGTTTGATTACCATGTTCACTTGCACCCAATTCATCATGTTGAGTTCTTTTTCTCTGGAGAAAGATGAATATAATACAGCAGCAATGTGTCTTCCAAGACACACGGGACACTGGACAGCCAGGCTGCCTGATTTGTTAGCGTGGCACCAAGCTGCAGGCTGCCTGGGAGGCAGTCATGAAAACAGAAGGCATGGAGGACATGGTGAAAGCCAGGTTTACAGTCACTCCGTAATTGTTCTTTCACAGCCCTATAGACATACTGTATCAAAGACTGTATCTGAAACAAATATATCTGCATCACTCAAGAGCACAGGAAGCCATTGAAAAGAAAATGAATATTTAGTGTTGCCTTCTGAATACAATTTGAAGTTGTATCTGGCAGGAGGGACTACTGACAAATAAAGAACTGCTGTCCAAGAGCCCCTCTGTTAACAAAGTGGTGCTAAGTGTGCAGAAACCAACCAAAGCAAGCACTCAGTTTAAGATTTAGTACCAAAGCCTTCTGCAGCAGTTAGCTGCAAGGGAAACTGGAGAAAAAAACCCTTGTCTTAAAGGCACATAAACTCTGCACCTAGTGCAGAAACCATAGCAGTAGGATTTCCTGCAGTGACGGGGGCAGGAGAGGTTATGTGCCTGTGGACTCAATCTGGGGAAGATCTTGAGCAGCACAATTTCTGAGCAGCAAGCCCTGTCCTTTACCATAGGCCAGGGGTACTCTATTTCAGGCAAGCTTTCATAAGCAGATCAGTAGAATTGAGTGCTATATAAAATAGTCCTCTAGATGAAATGGTAAATGTTTATAAGTAGTAAAACCATGGGCACAAATGAGATGTGCAAGTACTCACTCATTGTTCTTACCCTTCCATAGTTAGTTCCAATGGATACAGCATCCCAAAGAAATTCTTCTCATCAGACCCATGCTCTTATTCACCCCCTAACCCTCCATCTAACCAGATATCCATGTTTTCTGTTTCTTTCATTGTTGCTTTTGTTCCTCGCTTCTTTTTTGTCACATCTCCCAGTACCTCACCTGAAGCTGACAGGCTGCAGCTAAGGTTTCCTGTACACTGTTCACACTGAGTTCCAGCTCAGAAGTGTAAATGAAGTTCAAGATTTTACACATTGCATTGTAGGAGATGCCATGAATATGAACTTCTTCTTGTTCCATCTCTCTCAGTCCTCCTGCAAACATTCCTCTGTAAAAAAGACAATGGCACATGCTATGGCAGATTTGCATTGAAGCCATTTTCAGTTTGCTTATCTTACGTTGTCCTGAGAACATAAAAAATATTCAGAAATATAAAAACCTAGCCAGACACTTTTATGGGACTACCTCTTCTCTAAGCCAGTGATACAAAGAGTACAGACCTTTAGGACCTAAGAAAGTAATACTCTTCATTCTGAAGGAAAACAGTAGTGGCCATCGGAAAGGTATGATTTACAGCTGAAGGACTTAAATAGAGATCCAGTCCACATGGGTAGTCATTGGGCAGAGGCAGATAGTCTGGGTGTCAGGGAAGAGGAAAAACAGAAGAACTTAGGCCTGCAGGAATTTTTTCTAAGCTAGAGCAGTTCTTCCTCCAGTTAGAAGTTTTTCTGGATTGCCTTGGGATTTGTTTGTTTTCTCTATGAAAATGAAATCAGTTAAGAAACTGCTAGTCAAATTGACCAGGCCTGGTTTCATGGACAGCAAGTCATACTATAGGCACGTAATGTGACCCACTTCCAGTGACTTTTTGTGTATTATGAAATGATCACCACAATGGGCAAAGTCTTACAGTGCTAAGGATATGTTAAAAGCCACCCAGAGTGCATTTATGCAGAAGAGACCTGTTCAGATAGTCTCTCCTCTTTATATACCTCCAAGTACCACAGGCAGTGAATTTAGGGGAGGTGAGCTCAGTGTGCAGGAACAAGAGCTTTATTTCTGTAGAGAAATAACAGAGATTAATAAAGCCATACTTAGTATTTTGAAACACATTCAGCTGCATCTATGGGTCTAATTTTACATCCAGAAGCAGTGTGCCAAGACAGAATTGGGTGTTGCAGGTTTGAGTAACATTCAGACACATGCTTGTTGCTGCCATACTGAAGTGTACCTGAAATAGTCACAGGATGCAGCTAGAAGTATGCGATGAGCCTCAATAGGTTTCTCTTCCACTACCAGAACTACATCGAAGAGGATGCTGCTGTCTCGCAGAGATACCAAGCCACTGAGCAAGGCCTGGGAGTGCTCTGCACTGCGGTATGTGTTGCTGGTGCGCTGCTGAAGGGAGGGCTCGAGTTGAGCTTTGTGTGGCTGAGTCAGCTCCTGATCCTCCGCCATCCCAGGCAGAAATGCTCAGCCACCAGCTGTAGCGGAATGAGATCTGTGAGACAACAGAATCAGCAAAGGTTTGTGCCTTTTGCTTTACGAATGGTCCTCTGACCCCCACCTGTCACAGAAAATAAATCAAACCAACTCTTCAGTCAATAGAGAGACAGTTCTACCCTGAAGAAATTATTCTGTATGATACTGGAAATAGGTGTACATCAGCACACCAAAGTGGCAGAACATGGTTTTTCAAACAAGTATTCTGACTCTTCCGTCTTCAGTCCAAGAGTCAGAGTATGTAGGATGTGGGGATATTTTTTTTTCTTAGCAAGAGTTTCACTTCCCAACCCGTTACCAGAACCCCTTGTTTCTTTTGCTTTTCTGCATCATTTATAGCAAAGAACGGACGTAATTTTTGTCGAATTCCAAACTGCCTAATATCCTCAGATAACTTTGCTGCAATATAAACTGCACCTTCTGTCTTTCTCTTGCTATTTTACCATAGAATCTGAAAGCTCTCCTCTCCCTGACTTTGCTTTTTCATTTTCCTTAGCTGAGCACATTTCCAACTGTCATTCTATAAAATACTATATGAAACTGTATACTTCAAAGTGAGTGTCTTTATTTTCACAACTTCAAGCTAGCATGCACAACTGCTTTCCACTTCACTGTGATTCCCTGCAGAGAGAGGGTATTTCCTCCAGCGTAGGCACTGTAGAGGGCTATCCTGTACCTTTTTCTAGGGCTGCCACTGACACTGTAGGAAGGTCCCCTATGGCACATGGGGAAACACCTGTAAAAAGCGAGCTGGAAGTGATTGTCTATCGTTAAGGTCTCAAAATCTCATGAGTCCTCTTCTACCATCCTGTAATTTACCCTTTCCATTGTCTTTGAAGAATGTCAGAAGTTGTGGCAGTTAGAGCTCATAGCCTCTATCCAGTTGCCAGAGCACATTAAAAAAACCCACCACATTAGCAAAAGGAAATAACTTAGCTGATACGGCTGCTTAAGACACGGTTATAATAGCTTCTCCTCCAGCAGCCTGGGAAATAGCTTAGTGGCACAAGGGGTAGTCACAAGGAGAAGCAGTCAGGGAAGCAAAAGCAGAACAAACCCAGCAAATCCAAACAAACTATAAAGAAATGGAACCATTGGTTAATTGTGCCAGCCACAGACAGTGAACGCAGCATTGGAAATGTCTCCAAGTACTGCAAGGTATTCTGCGTATGGTCAGTGAAGAAGGAGCTATATCTGGATGATATCAAGAAATACGAAAATGTTTATTGTTCTGCCTGAGAGAAGTTACCCTACACTGTCCAAAACAAAAGGAAGCCAGGTAGCATTGCATGGTAAATGGGATGGAAAAAAAAACTGAAAAAGCATATTAATGGTTGTCTGCTCTTTGCCAGCAAAACCAAGGCAACCAGCTCAGAAGAGGAGCTCTGATGAGACAGCCTTCCAGGAAGCACATTCAGGTCGATTATATGGGGGAAACTATCCATCATCAGCTGAAGAGATGAGTAATGGATTATTCTTCATGACAGGTAGATGCTTTTCCTAGAAATAAGATGACTGCTTTTGAAGCAGACAAAACATTACCGTATCATTTGATTTGCTCCTGGGGAATACTAGAAGTGATAGATTGAGGCAAGGGAGATAATATAGTAAGAATGGCAACTGAAGGAGTGGGTGTTACTAGATGTTGATCAGAAATTTCCCATTTCACTAGGAAGGGAATAAATGCAGCAAAACCAATGTAGGGTGAGATCTGGCCCAGATGAGGAACAGATTCATATAAACCACATTAACTTTGTAAATATGGTTTCATGTGGTTAATACTCAAAAAAAGCTGCATCTTTTCAGCTACTTAGAGAGCTATATCAAAAGAAGCCTCTGAGAATAAAATTGCATCAAAAAGCAGAAGGAAATGTAACAAATGAACTATTTTCTGAATTCAGAGTCTTTGTTGGGTAGGGGAAACAGCAGGACCTTTGATACAGTCTTATAGCATGTCATATCGTGTAGCCATTGGTGGAAGAGAAGCTAGGGAGAAATAACTGAGATATATTAAAACTACACAGGGCATTGAACCCATGTGACAAGGGCTAGCAAAGAAATGTATTGTAGGAGAAGTGGTTTCCAGAGAGAGAGAGATATACATGCAGAGTGGAGTGGGAATCCTGTAGAATCATGCCAAGCCTTTATTTAAATCTACCTTTAATTAATATAACTGTAGACAGTTACTATTCAGAATACATTCTGTATCCAAATTATCTTAAAAAGGAACAGAAACAGTGAATCTTTCAGCAAGTAAAGCCCCAGAGGGGACCTGATCTAACAAATATGGTGGCTGGAACCAAGAAGATCAAATGGTTTTATGAAAGAGAGTAAATTAAAAAAAAAAAAAACAAAACCAACAAAACCAGGGATTCTGAAGCCTGTACGAGCATTAGTATCTGCAGAGCTTTCAGTGACAAATGGGGCTGTCTTGGAGATCTGCAGGGAGTTTATCTCAGTGCTAGGTTTACTAGATATGGACTTGAATTATCCCATAACTTAGCAATAGCTGAACAAACCAGCCCTTCTAGCAGACCTGTTGTAAACCAAGTATGATCAAACATAGATGCTGGGAGTGCAGCTGAACCATCCTCCACGGCTGATTTTTTGCTAGTCAACAGCTGAGCCTACAGGTCTTCTGCTATGCTCTATTTTCTGAATTTTGGCAGTCCCTACTTCTTGTTCTCAACTTCTGCCCCTGGGTTGTACCTTGGCTGTCACTGGTGAGCTGGACAGTCCTCAGGGTGGTCACTGATGCATGTACATCAACACAAGAGCTGCCTTGTGCGTTTGGAGCACAGAGGCACTGTGGTATAGAAATTCACCACTCTACAGCTACTTGTGAGTATTTTGCCATCCACAGTTATTTGCTGCTAATCAGCTTTGGGTGTGTAGGTTGAATGCCAATGCTGCTGTGGAAAAAGGGTAGAATACTACTGAGCAGGTACAGTGTATGGGGTCTAAAACTGGACAGCACTCATAAGCTCTTTTTGTTCATGGATACACATGAAGTTTCTTAATTATGCTGTGGCTACTCAGAGAGCCTATATGCTGTTATGTGTACCTCCCTCCTCTCCTAAACCGGGCTTCAAAGCTTATAAATAAGTACGCATGTCTATCGTCATATTTTTAACCAGTGGTAACAGACTACTCTAGAAAAATTCTCACTGCAATGATTTTCATGAACTGTTCCCAACTTACAAAATTAAAAGTGAACATTTGTGGTATTATTCTATGATGTCTGACTGACATAGGTGGTTAAGTCCTCTTCTTTGAGCCAAAAGCCAAGGAAAGTCTCTTAACTCCTACCTAGGTAGTCTTAGGAGCTGGTAGAAAAGATCTTTAAGACAAAGAAGGGTAGAGGACTATTAAACAGCTTGTAGGGGATGGGCAGCAAGATTCATTTCGCTGATTACTGAGTGTGCTCAGCTTTGTAATAGCTGTACAAGGAGCAGCTGGGGTTGGGTTGGTAGGAAGTTACAAAGAGTGGTTGTTGAAGCAGAGTTAGTGTGGTTCTGTTGTGGGCTTCTTGGAAAGTGAGGTGTTTCTAGCATTTGAGCTTTCTGGATTAAATGCAGTGTACTTGGTGAGTTAAGTTTTGTGTATTTCTCTGAGTATTGTTCTAAATGCTGACTGCAAATTTGCTGGGGAGAGGGATATTGGTGTTAGCATAGCACCTTGCTTCTCAGACTGTGTGGTCTAACTGTGACCTGTGTGCTTTGTGCTTTTGCTACTGTCTAAAAGTCCAGTAGCTCAAACAGTGGAAGTGTGCTATTTTATGTGTGGTGTACCAGCTGGGTGGAGGGAATGACTGTTAATGTATCTGGGAATTGTTATGCCTTGTGAGTGTCTGTCAGTCTTAAAAATTACAAGGAAATTTATTGAATAACCTCTGTATATTTGGAGCTGAAAATAATTTAACCCTATCTCCTCAAACCTGTATTTTGCTTAATCTTTATTGCACTTTATAACAAAACCCTAAATGTAGTACAAGCAGTACAGTTCTGAATGGAGACAGGACAGGTTTGTTCAGCCTCTTACATGCTGCAGAAAACCTTCTATTTACTGTTTTTCCTTCCTGACCACTCAAGAATTTTGCTGGCTTTTAGAGCCTGAGACACCATTTTCACACGCTGGTATATCTGTTCCTGGAAATGAAGGAGCTGTAGGGAGGCCCTTGCTATTGAATGTAAGTGCAGTCCCTTGAACGATGCAGCTAAGTCTCCTCTATCCTGAGCCTCTCTACTATTAGCTTCTTGCTTGTAGGATGTTCTTGATGCCTCTCTGTTCTCTTACTTCTGCTATTGAGAAACTAGCTCTGTGACTGAGCCAAGTTCCTAGAAATCTGAGTAATACTTTTTTTTTCTTTTTTCCTCCCCTCTCTCCTCTTGTGCAGGTTTCTTGGTGCTGGTCAGCTCTTAACAGTGGAATTCAGTGGCTGAGTATTGCAGGACTGACCCTAAGGTGGAAGAGATGAGGAGCTCTTTCTGTTCACTGTGCTTCTTTAATAGTAGCAAAGATATAAAGTACTGTCTCATGTGCAGTGGAATGCTGTCTCCAGAAACAAGGAAAGGCAAGTCCTTGTTCCAACCACTTTGAAACTGCAGAGAAAATCAGACTAGAAATTTTCTTAGCTGGCCGTGCAAGGTATTTGAGACTGCAGTTACGTTGGTTTACATTTGTCTTTTAGAGGACATGGGTTAATGTAGTGATTAATTTTAGAGTATTACAACTGAGTGCCCAGTACATGAAGAGGAAGGAGGCGTATGAGGTCAGTAATTATATATGCACTTCTATAGGCATTCTTAATGTAAGAAGACATGCACTGTTTGGTCACTTCAAATGAAGGAGTTAAAAAAAAAAAAAAAAAAAAAACACACACCAAAAAAATCCCCCGTAAATGTCAAAACCCTTTTCTAGGTACCTAGAAAGATGGCTCTTTTTCAATATACTGAAACTTTCTATATTCTGTGCCTGGATTCCGCTTGGAAACCAGGAG